GGGTGTGAAAGTGCTTACTGTATGCTTCTGCTCCATTCCAGGATCTACCAAGAGAAGTAGGAGAAGAGGAAGATGAGACGACAAATGATGTTCCCCACATCCAGTGTGAGGACGGCTGTGACCCCCAAGGACTCCGGGACAACAGCCAGGTGCTAAGATGAGGCTGGGCCACAAGGAAGGGAGTGGAGACATATCTGGGCGCCACGGTGAATTAGTAAAAGTCACATCTGTCCTTGTCCATTCAACATACCATGGACTGGGCAGTTTATAAAGGACAGAAATCTCTCCACAGTTCTGGAGGCTGTGAAAAATAAAGTCACTGGGTCCACACCCGCAGAGATTAGGGTAGCAGCATGTTGGGCAAGGGCCCTCTTCCAGATCGTACCTCAGAAGTGGTGAGGCAGCGCCCTGGGTCTCTTTTTTTTTTTTTTTTTTTTAAATATATTTTATTGAGTTTTTACAGAGAGGAAAGGAGAGAGATAGAGAGTCAGAAACATCGCTGAGAGAGAAACATCGACCAGCTGCCTCCTGCACACTCCCCACTGGGGATATGCCCGCAACCAAGGTATATGCCCCTGACCGGAATCGAACCTGGGACCTTTCAGTCCGCAGGCTGATGCTCTATCCACTGAGCCAAACCGGTTTCGGCCCTGGGTCTCTTTTATAAACTCCAGTGCCATTCCTGAGGGCTCCATCCTCATGACCTACTCACCTCCCACCTCCTAATACCATCACATTAGGGGTTAGGATCTTCACAGCTGGGTCTGGGAAAGGCAAAGAACTGGAGGGGTCTTTGGGGACCGGACTAGGGAGAGGGTCTCATTTTCTGTCACTGCTTTTTCTTCCCAGTCTTGCTTGCAACGGATCCACCAGGGCCTGGTTTTTTACGAGAAGCTGCTGGGCTCAGATATTTTCACAGGGGAGCCTTCCCTGCTCCCCGATGGCCCCGTGAGCCAGCTTCACGCCTCTCTACTGGGTCTCAGGCAACTCTTGCAGGTATGCGTTAGGGGCTGGAGCATGGCAGCCTGTAGTCTCTGGCAGACGAGGGTGGTGGTGGTGGTGGTGAAGGACCTAGGATCCTCTCTCATTGTGTCCCGTGTCCTTTCAGACTGAGGGGCACCATTGGGCGCCTGAGCAGACTCCAAGCCTCAGTCCCAGCCAGCCATGGCAGCGGCTCCTTCTCCGCCCTAAGATCCTGCGCAGCCTCCAGGCCTTTGTGGCTGTGGCTGCCCGGGTCTTTGCCCATGGAGCAGCAACCCTGAGCCCGTAAAGCCAATAGCTTAAGGATGGCCTCCAGATCTTCATGGCTAAGATGAACCTATCGGCTGAGGCACCTGTGAGCCAACAAGTGACTCAGTCATTAATTCTAATGGGACCTGCATGTGTTGAAAACATTACCAATACTGGCGGATTTATGATGCGGACCCAGGACATGTTGAATAATTTATTAGAGGGGAAGGGAAAATTTGGGATTATTTATTCTATTGGCAGCAGTTTGAGGGGGAGGATTATTTATTATATTTATACTGACTTATTTACTTTTTTCAATAAACTTATTTATATGGATATTTAAGTCTAATTTCTAGGTTTGGTTGGGGAAAAGAAAACAAATGCAAAAACAGGGATGAGGAACTATAATATGCAACCTTCTTCTACTCTGGGGCTATGGTGGAGAGGGTCTTTCCTTTTGACCCCCTGGTGTATAGAGTAACTGGGATCTTTTTGGTTTTAATCCCTGCGTGGCTAAGTAAGATGAAAGGGATGACAAGGGGACGAGATTAGGAAACGGGACACCTCTCTTGCTCCCTGACCCAGTGCCTCCTTCGCTGCTTTCTTGGCCAAGAGTGTATTTAGCCAAAGATGGGAATCCCGATCACTGCAGGATCCAAAGTCAGAGCTGTTTGAGCAGAAAGGGCATTCCAGGAAGATAAAGGTAAATCCCCCAAACGAATGGGATTCTCCCTCAGTGGATATCTGTGGGCCCCTTCAGAAGGGAGTTTGATTACCCCGAGGGAGTCAAACTACCTTTGAAAGGAAGTATGGAAATGTTCTGGTGATTATTTCTCTTCCTCTCTCCATCTTCACAATATCAACAAGAAACATGGGCTTTGGAGTCAGACAGACCCAGGTTTAAAATTTGGCACCAACCTGCTGAGGAACAATGGGCTAATTCCATAACTAACACCCCCTCCCTGACACACACTCATACACAGCTTACTTCCCCCTGGAACAATCTATGGGTCAGGAAAGGTTGCTCCAAGCAGGGAGGCAAGAAGAAGAAACATGACCAGAGGGGCATCCTGGGGTGGGTGGAAGACACGCCAGGCTTTGCTGACCTTGGCCCTCCGTGGCCTATTGGTGTTTTCAAGAACAGTCGTCTTTGGAGAAGGGAAAGAAAGAAGATCAAAGAGGAAACGTTTCTAGGTCAGCACAGAGTTTATTAGCCACTTCCGCTCAGATGGGACTCTTTCTCAATAGTACTGTTCCTCTAACACACGATTTTCAACCAGTGTCCCCCAGATTTTTTAAACATACAACACCTAACTTTATTCAGGAGCACTGACCTCTTTTTCCTTAGACTGTCAAATAAAAAAATAACAACCACCAACACAACAATAGCCATCCTGTATGAATGAATCAAAATTACACCTATTTTTCTGTCAGATTGGCCAAAACATTTTTTTTTGGTGTGCTGCCAAATTTTAGTAATTAGTTTCTATGTGCTATGAGATGAAAAAGGTTGAAAGCCGCTGCTCTCGCATACCAGGCAGGAAATAGCCGCGTGTAGCAGGCCTCACTTTCATTTGCATCTCAGGTTTACTAGAAGCACATCTTAGAGCAAAGGCAGTTGTCCCGGGGTTTCCTGGGAATGGCTAAGGTGGGAGGTTGTCCAGAGCTCATGAAAAACCTTCAAGGTCCTAAGTTCCAGGAACGTGATCTCTGCCCAGGTCCATGCCCAAGGAATAGAAACAGTCTTTTCAGGTAAACAATATATTGCACAAAAGAAAGGAATGACGTCTTAATAGAGAAATATCTAAGACCCAGGGCTTCTCTCCCTCTGTAAACGTACCAATCTGTACTATAAAAAGCAGTTCCTGAGTCCCCAGCTAGCGGACATCCCCGGTCTCCTAAGCAGTGGGGAAGTGGAGACTAGGCAGCATTAGTTATTGTGCAAAGCTTCACAGGCACGTTAGGCTGGTAGGATCGGCTTCCAGGGGAGGAATGGATGTGGCCACTGCTAAAGGCTCCAGGTCCTGCCCTGCCTTTAGCAGTGGCTCTAACTCCAGGCCCAGCCCTGGCTCTGGGGTGTGTGCAGGGGTAGGGGGGTGTGTGGGGGGGTGTCGGAGGGAGATCGGTAAGAAGAGGAGGTCTACCTCCTACTTCCTCTTCAGAGGGGAGCTTCCCAGTGTGGCTGAGGCAGAAAGCTCTCAGTCCCTGTAGGAAAAGAGGAAATTTAGGACAAGAGTGAGGGGAAGAAGAAAGGAGAAGGTCATCCTGGGCATGAGGGAGAAATGGAGTCCTGCCATGTGTCAGTTCCCCCCTGAGGGCCACCGCTAGTGGGCGCCAGGTTAGCCTTACCAGCTATTAGAAAGTTGAAATTCTTCCATACTGGAAAGGAGCAACTTCTCTGAGCCCTCCAAGCTCCTCCTAACTGTCCTGGCCTGTTCCTAAAACCGCTACCCCTTCCAGTGCAGCAGGCAGCCTCCAGGATCCTAGTTAGAGCCATGGCCAACATCTGTTCTGGTTCACATGTCCCTCTCACTTCAAATCAGGCCGTTAACCCAGCTTAGAAGAGGCACGTGCCTGATTTCCCATCCTGGGAGAGCAACACTATGATGCGGGGTTATATGGGGTAAAAGATATGGAAAGAACAGAGGAAACATAGTCCTAGTAGTCAGGAGTCAAGGGCCCATCTGTGAAGAAATGGCTCTGGTGGCAGTTGTACGCCTCATCCACGGTGTTCTGGCCAGCTAACAGTGGGTCTCCGTTTGGCATGATTTCTTCAATCTTCATGTTGTTTCTGAAGACTGGGTAGTCCAGAGAAAGAAGTGAGGTCCTGATCTTAGGTAAGGAGTTCCCAACCCAGCAAGGACAGTGAGGGAGATGGTAGCAGAGGCCTGGGCAAGGCCTGAGGGGGCACTTAGGTAGGGCAGGGGTTGGTGTGTCCATTTCCTAGTAAAAGGGACACAAGGGAAATGAGCCTCCTTTCCCAGGAGGAGCTTAGATCAGGGGGTGGGGGGGGTTCTGTAATTGGTGAGAGAGGGGAAGAGGGGAGTTGGGAAAGGGGGGCATCCCTTTCCTCAGCCCCATCTCATCACTTACTTTCCATCTCCTCAATGTTCAAGTGTCTCAGATCATGGGGCAAATCTGGCTCTGGCTCTGGCACGGGCTGTGAAACAGGCTCTAGAAGAGGCTCCAGCTTCAGTTCTGGTCCCAGGTCCAGTGTGGGCTCCAGCTCCAGCTCGGGCTCCAGTGGCTCCAGCTCAGGCCCCAGATCCAGCCCTGCCTTTAGCAGTGGCTCCAATTCCAGGTCTAGTCCTAGCTCTTGCCCTGGTGCTAGGCCCAGGGGTAGGTCTAATGGCTCTACTTCTGGCTCCAGATTAGGCTCCAGCGGTTGTTGCAGCTCCTCCACCTGTCTGGGTACCCCAATACAGACAAAGGGGAGTACTTAGCAGTTTAGGTGAGGTCGGAATGGTAGAGCAAGCAGAGACTACTTCTCTAGTCTAAAAAGGTAAAGGAGCAGAGGGCTCTTAGCATAGGCTGTGCTCTTCCCTGGCCAGGTAACTCGGTTAGAGCATCATCCCGATATGCCAAGGCTGCAGGTTCAAATCCCTGATGGGGCATATACAAGAGTCAACCAGTGAATGCATAAATAAGTGGAACAACTAATCCATGTTTGTTTTTTTCTTCTTTCTCTCTCCCATCCTAGCTCTCTCTAAAATCAATTACAAACAAAGGTCACAGGCTTTGCAGAGTCTGAATCCTGTCAGTCAGGCTTACCAGAGTTTGAATCCTATCATTTACTAGCTGGGTGACCTTAGGCAAGTTAACTAACTTCTCTGAGCCTCAGATTTATCATCTGTAAAATGGGAACAACAATACCTAATAATATTTGAGAGGCAGGAGGCTGGTTAAAAGCAGGGCTTTGGAATCTGACAGACCTGGATCATTTCGTAGCCATGGACCTCGAGCATGCCACTTCACTATGCTAAACCCGTTTCCTCAGCTGGCGACAGTAATAAGTGTCTGCCTCACAGGACTTTTATGGAAATTCAATGTGAGAAAATAAGCACAAAGTTTTAGCCCAGTGCCTTGTATATAATAAACTTTCATTAAATATTCCTGTTCCTATTACCTACTCATATGAATTCTCATAATGATTAATTTTTTAAAAATATATTTTTATTGATTTCAGAGAGGAAGAGAGAGATAGAAACAATAATGAGAGGGAATCATTGATTGGCTGCCTCCTGCACATTGGACCGAGCCCACAACCCAGGCATGTGCCCTTGACTGGAATTGAACCTGGGACCCTTCGTTCTGCAGGCCGATGCTCTATCCACTGAGCCAAACTGGCTAGGGCAGGATTAATTTTTTTAAAATGTTATAAAAGTATCTAGTACCATGTTTGGCATCAATCAGATGTCCATTAACATCAGGGCTTATGACTATTATCATCAGGGAACCTCTGTGGAGACAGCTGAAGGATGGCAGCAGGAAAATAGAGAAGAGAGAGAGTAGAGGAGCCGGAAAAACCTAGAGGACTGGAGAGTGTGGCGAGGAGGAGAGAAGGCCAGGGAGATGGGACTGGACAGGCTGGTTGACTATGTCGGCAGAAAGGGGTGGTGGGGGTGGCGCAGGGTTCCCATCTCACCTGTTAGAGACCACGATGAGCTTCCGGGTCAGGTACTTCCTTTGCTCCTCGAGGTTAACTGTCGGGGACGCACACAAGAGGCGGGGAGGTTAGTGATGAGATCCAGACCGACGTCCTGACAGTCACATCTCCTTCCTAATTAGCAGCGTCCCGCGGACAAATCCCTCCACGTCTCTGCATGTTGGTCCGGAAGGCGTTGGCCTGGTGGGTGCCCGCCATCTCCCAGTGAAGTCCGTCAGCACCTCTCACCTTTGTCCTCGTAGTAGCACCCGAAAGCTTCATCCCGGGGGGTGCGGGGGTAGAGGAAGCGCAGCGGGTTCTCGGGAATGTTCTCCGCGGTGAGCAGCTGGTAGTGGCGGATGATTTTGGTCAGCGGGAGCGACTGCAGCACGTCCTTGGTGAAGGGCTTCACGGAGTGGATGAGCACCTTATCTGGGCGGCGGAGAGGGGACAGGCAGGACTGAGAGGAGGCCGGGCCTGGGCGCTCCCTCTGCCTGCCCAGCCCAGACCTGCGAGGGGGTCGGGACGGAGCGGGAAGCCCAGCACAGGCAGCGGGGCAGGAAGGAGGGGCGTGGGAGCGGCAGCGCGGGGCAGCTGACCATCATCCTGGTGTTCCACCCAGGAGCAGGTAATGCCGCCTTCGGACGTCTCGCTGAAGCGCAGCAGGAAGGTTCCAGAGACGGTCTTCTTCAGCAGCCTGCGCTCCTGGCTCCGGCTCACGAACCCCATGATGCGCCTGGAGCAGAGACAGCAGCTGAGCGGCCCTCCGGCCTCCCGCCTCCGTGGGCAGCGAGGGGGCGCCAGCTTTCTGCCCTGGCGCGGCCACTACAGACTGTTCCGCTGTGGCCACGCCACTTCGCGCTGACAACATCCACCTCCAGGGCCGGAAGAGGGGTGAGGATTCAGGAGGCCATGCCGATGGAAAACGCCTTGTAAAGGGCAGATGGGCAGGCGGTGTGGCGGGAAGAGCACAGGCTTGGGCTCAGACAGCCCGGCTTTGAATCCTGACTCAGCCCCTTTACTCTCTCTGAGCCCTCGTTTCCTCACCGACACGAGGGGGCAACACCCCCCACTCGGCATGGCTGTAGGTTTCACGGGAGAATTCATGGATGCACCCGGGAGGCTCTGGATCACAATAGCTGCTCGACAAACACCGGCTCTAACTGTTATTGCAAAGGTGAGGGGGTGTGCCCTTGGCCCAGTTTTTGCTCTCGCTCCCTATTTGCCACACGAGGGCGCACAGAGCCCACTCAAGCCTCGAGAGGCAGCGGGGTCTAGGGAGAGGGTGGCTGACCAAGGTCTTACCCATCATTCCAGAGATCCTTCAGGTGCTCATGTACCAGGTCCAGAATTTTGTCTAACCATGTCCAGAATGGAAGCTTCCCAGGCGGGCTCTCTCGCTGAAGGAGTGGAAAAGCAGGGAGACATGGAGTGGCCCTCGGGGTGGGGAAGGAGTGTTGGGGGAGCGGTGGGGTTTGGATTCGGGCTAGGTCTGGCTGCCCAGGAGGAGGGTGTTACCTTAGTGAAGTCGGCCCAGGACAACAGCGCACCCTCATTCCCCGAGTTCTGTCCTGTGGACAGAAAGCCCGTGAGCTGGTGGGAGGAGGCAAGGCCAGGGCTCCTGGGGTGGAGAGGACAGAGGGCCGGGGCTGACGGGAAAGGAGGTCCGTACCAAACAGCTTGTCCTTCAGCATGCTCAGCTGGTCCTGGTCGAGGCCTCGGCCAACGTAGGAGGAGAACTGCCAACTGAGGGCCGGGCCCAGTAAGGTCCAGGGGGCCTTTGGGGGGCTGGAGAAGAACTGCTGATTCTGCAGGTATGGGAAGAGGGCAGGGTGGCTCAGAGCAGCACCCTCACACCAAGCTGCCACCCCTCCTCACCACCCTTCTCCTGTTGGCCCACCTCCTACCTGAGGGTTTGAGCTGAGCAGATTGAACCAGAGAATCGAGGCCCAGGCGATGGAGAGTTGATTCATGTTAGAAATAACCACCACAGGGAGGGTGTCTGCCTGGGAGAAGACAGGAGTCACAGCGGAGGCTGTGAGGGTTCTAGCTGCAGACGTTTGGGCGGGGCCAGGGGCAATATTTCACCTGAGAGGCTTCTGTTAACGCCTCCTGTGCCCTCCCCCAAACCTGCTCCAGCTCGCCCGCCTCCGTTTTCACTCACTTTCAGTTCCTGCTTCAGTCCCTGGTAGGTGTATCTGACCGTGAAGCTGATGATGTGCAGTTCCTCCGTCACACCCAGCAGACCCTGGGACAGCCAGAGCCGTGAGCAGAGGGCCCTGGGGCATGTCCCTCCTGCCCCCAGCCCTCTCTCTGTCCAGGCCTCACCTTACTGCTGCCCTTTCCTGAACCACCCGAGCGTTGCTCCAACAGAGTCTGTGAATTGAGGGGAAGGAGAGAGAATGCCAGAGGAGGGACCCAGCATCCCTGGAATGCGTTTTGCCCACAAGACTTCCCAAGGCCTGGGCACTTGCCCCAGCCTATTCCATTGGATTAGAAACAGAAGCTACTAGCCTCTTACCAGATAGCCGAAGTCCCAAATTAAGCCCTGACTCTGCCCTTTCTCGGGGGTCAAAGTTTTCTGGGTTGAGGTCAGAATGTTGAACTTCCGGAAGCTATTCCAGGAGGAAGAAAACATATGAAGGACAGGAACAGAGTTATTCTAAAATCCAGCAGGAAGACAACCAAGCTCCATTTCATTTCAGGCCTCTCCATCTCCCTCTGCGTATGTGCCACCCACATCAGCCTCCTCCTGTCTGTGCCCCCCTCAGGGCTGCCACATGTGGTTGTGCAGCTCATGCAATGCACAAAGGTTTGCAGCTTTTTTGTCAGGTACCTACCCTTGTGATTGAGGAGGATTCCTGAAAAGAAATAAAATAAAATAAAGTCACTGGGAAGCAAAACAGCATAGAAATTAGGAATGTGGTCTTTGGGATCAGACAGACCTAAGTTCAAACCCAAGTCTGCAGCTCACTAGTTATGTGGCCTTCAAGACACATCATCTCACTGAGCTTGTTTTCTCATCTGAATGGAGCATTGATAACAGCTAACGCATAGGGTTTCTAGACTATTAAATGAATATTTGACAAGCTGCATGTCACATAGCAGGTGCTCAACAAAAGGGATGAATTGTTATTTCTATGAGGTAGGAATGGAGGGGGGAAGAACACAGCCCCGGAGCCTTCGGGAAAAGGAGGTGTCTTCTCTGCCCGCTGCCCCACTCTCCCTACCACCCCCGTCAGCCCACATCCTGGCCCCTCTTTGGTCCCACCTTTCACCTGCTCCAACTTACTTGTCAATAAAGACTTCTGCAGTCAGCGACTCGCTGCCTTCCTGGAGCCTCACCAGCAGCCTGGGGAGGAGGGAGGTGGATGGAGAAAGTGGTCAACCTCAACTTCCGAACAGACCAGATGTTTGGAAAAGATGAGGGAAGAGATTAGAAGAGGTAGATTGACTGAGGGGGGGTGGGGGGGAGAGAAGGAACAGCCAAGAGTGGGAAGATCTTTAAAGCCAGAAAGCGAACAGTGCTAGGTCTGGAAAAAGGAATCAGGAATGAGTTCTGAAATGCCCACCGTGTTCGGACAGTGAACTTGGTCCCAGTCCTGAGGATGAGGGGTCGATGGGGAGTCTGAGGCATGCAAGGCTGGGTTTCCACCACAAAGGCTCTGGGAAGAGAGAAGTGGAGAGACTGTATAGCTCAGCATCTGTAACAATGGCTCCCCTGCTCCTTCCCTCCCTAGAAGTCCCTCTGTGGCCTCCAAACCTGTGGAGCAGATGTTGTAGCAATTCTGTGACCTGGGCCTCCTGCAGGTCCACCCCTGTGATCAGAGGGTCATTCTCATAGCTAACCAGTTGACTCAAGTCCTTCAGTTCCTTCAGCAGCTGCCGCAGATGAAACATTAGTTTTGCTCCATCTGTGAACCTGAGTGATAGAACCCAAGGGAGAGAGAATCCATGAGTTTCCTGGAGCCCCCAAACAGGCTCTAAGAGCGCCCCTTTAACTATGTGGAGAATTAAAACTGATTGGGACAAAAAAAAGAAAAAGAATCCAGGAAGCACTGATTATCCAACATGATTCATAATCCAAGAAATGAAAATCAAAGCCACTTTCACATTAAAATTGGTAAAAGATGAACATAATAAAGCTAACTTTCATATGATGTTTGATATATACTATTGATTTTAAGTGTGTTACACACATGAATGCATTTAATCCTTACAACCACCCTATTTAATGTAGACACTATTATAACCCCCATTTTACAGCTGATAAAACTGAGGCACAGAAAAGTTTAGCGAAAGCCACTTGCTCAAGGTCATAAAACTAGTAAGGAATAAAATTGTATGTAATCCAAGGCAGTCTGGCTGCACAGTTCATACTTTTGACTTCTATAGTTTACTGACTCTATAAAAAAACTAATAATAGGCAATGTAGTGACAGGAAAACAATCATATACTATATATACGAAAACAAATTGGGATAGTAGTTTGAAACTATTTTTTAAAAAGCCTCAAAAAGTGTGCATACATTTTATAGTATTCCATTTCTAAGATATATCCTAAGAAAATAATCAGACAAATGGACAAAGATAAATGTACCAGGAAATTCATAGCTTTGTTATTTGTCATAGAAAATTAGAACCATTCGGTTATTCGGTATATAAATTATGACATATACATGTAATGAAATACTATGCAACCATTAAATATAATGATATAGGCTCAAATATTTAACATGGAAAAATGTCCACAAATATTAAAAAATTACAAGATAGTATAGATATGATTTGACTTCTGCTTAAAATAGATGTATTTTTTGTATAGGCAAAGGGGAAATCTGGAAAAAGTATGCAAAAGCATAAACAGAGGGTACCTACTTCTGTATGATTATATTAAACAGATGGTTAATTTCTTTCTTTTCTCTTTTATTTTTTAAATTATTATTATGTTTAATATGTTTTTATTGATTTCAGAGACGGAGGGAGAGAGAGGGAGAGAGGTAGAAACTTCAATGATGAGAGAGAATCATTTATTGGCTGCCTCTTGCATGCCCCCTGACTGGGGACTGAGCCCACAACCTGGGCATGTGCCCTGACCAGGAATTGAACCGGTGACCTCCTGGTTCCTGGGTTGGTGCTTAACCGCTGAGCCACACCCGGCCGGGCATTCTTTACTCTTTTACGGTGTCTGAAATTTTTTCAATTGGTATACACTGTATTTGTAATCAGAAAAAGCAATACCTCTTTTTATTAAAAAACAGTGAAACAAGACAAGCTCTCATTCCTGGGAGCATGCTGGCTCCTTTCCCTTACCTGTCTTCTTTCCTCACAGGCACGTATCTCCTAAACTCTAAGGAACCCCATGAGACTTGCAGCCAGGGGAGCAACAGGCCGTGGTAGCTCATCCAGGGCTAACCCTTGAACCTGTCCTCAAGGCCCCCTTTTCTCTGACTCTCCAATGAGCTGACAGCAGCTCTGCCTTTGCTCACTTCTTTCTCATAACGTTTCTAGAGCCAAAGCAGCCCTGCCTAGGCTGTCTTCTGTTGCTTCTTCTAGCCCAGGCCTTTCCTTGTTTCACTGTCCTCAGATTTAATAAATGTACTCTTGCCCTAGCCAGTTTGGCTCAGTGGATAGAGCATCGGCCTGCAGATTGAAGGGTTTGATTCAGGTCAAGGGCATGTACCTCAGTTGCAGGCTCAATACCCGGCCTCAGGTGCGGGAGACAGCCCACCGATATGTCTCTCTCACACTGTTTCCTTTTGTCTCTCCCTCTCCCACTCTCTCTTAAAAAAAAAAAATCAATGGAAAAATATCCTCAGGTGAGGATTGACAAAAACAAAACAAAAACCCACAAACAAATAAATGTACTACAAAGATAAAAATATTAAAAAAAAAATACAACGAGTCCTAGCTGGTTTGGCTCAGTGGCCTATGGACTGGGGAGTCCTGGGTTCAATTCCAGTCAAGGGCACATGCCCGGGTTGTGGGCTCGATCCCCAGTAGTGGGCATGCAGGAGGCAGCCGATCAATGATTCCCTCTCTTCATTGATTTTTTTTATCTCTCTCTCCCTTCCTCTCTGAAATCAATAAAAATATACTTAAAAAAAATAAATTGATCCAGGTCAGTGTGAGTGCTCCAGCCCTGACTTGTTTGGCCCAGTGGATAGAGTGTTGGCCTGAGGACTGGAGGGTCCCAGGTTTGATTCCATTCAGGGCACATTCCCAGGTTGCTGGCTCAATCTCCAATAGGGGGTATGCAAGAGGCAGTTAATGAATGATTCTCTCTCATCATTATGTTTCTATCTCTCTCTCCCTTTCCCTTCTTCTCTGAAATAAATTTTAAAATATATTATAAAAATTAATATAAAATAAAAAGTTTACTAGAAAAATAGCAAGAAATTAAAAACAACCTACATGTCCAAAAAGAATAGTTCATTAATTAAATTATGTTACCTCCATAAAGAGAACAATAATGTAGCCATTGGAAGTAACATCCTATATAATAAAGAGCTAATATGCTAATTAGACCAAACAGCAGAATGACCATCTGGACATCCTTCTGGCTGACTGTCCCTACAAAGCCAGGATGGAGAGGGCCGGCCGAGGCTGTGAGGGGCTGCGAGGGAAACCTGGGTCCCAAGTGCCAGAGGGAAGCTGGTGCCGGCAGCTGGGCGAAGGAAGGTCTACTCTAGCATGAATTTTGTGCATCAGGTCTCTAGTGGGTAAATATTATAATATACTGCAAAGTTAAAAAGAAGAAAAACAAGCCTATATGTCTCAAAATAGTATGAATGGTATGATTCAATTTTTTAAAATATATTTTTTATTTATTTCAGAGAGGAAGGGAGAAGGAGAGAGAGAGAGAGACACACTATATATATGAGAGAATCA